ACTGACTGTTACTGTATGTGCTTAGTATTGGGAGAGAAGACCGTGTATTGGATGGTGGCTAGTCTGTATAGTAGTTACCTGTCTACATGGTGAATTGTGAGTTGAGCAACTGTAACATCAACGTATTGTAAATAGATTGTTTATATACTACAAGACTACTTATAGTCTGTTTTGGAGAGTATTTATCCTATTTTTGTTACGCAAGTAAAGCTATTTTTTGTTTTACGTTCGGTGGCTGTGAGTGCCTGTTCAGTGACACATTTGTTACTAACTTCTGCTGCACAACTCTAGTCTCCTAACAGGGATAGACTTAACAGTTTCTTCTCATTTTATATACGAGTGGAGTGCCCTGTCAGTTTTGGGTAGCCTGGTCTTAATAGTTCCTGGATTTTGTTGTATTTAAGTACAATGACAATAACGATTATACATACTTATACTTATTAGGCTGTTTTTGGTGTTACCCAGGAAACAAAAAGAACAAAGCAACTCCTCACCAGAAACCAACACCCAGATGAGCAGAGATTAGCATCAACATTTTATTTTATTTACTTATTTATTACATTTATTTTGCTGCCAATCTTGCCACAAGTCCTACAATCAAGAAGTAAACAATAATCCAATCAAGGAACTGCCAACTCAGGCAAATAAGCTAATATATCTAGCTCTGAGGAAGTTACTTAGTTGGATAAATGAAACATCTGCAAGAAAACAACCAAGCTCAGAGAGCACCAAGGAGTAATTGTACAAACTGTGCAAACTGTTACCAATTTGCTTCCAAGTCCAGTTCAAGGTGTTGGTCCTTACCTTTAAGACCCTTTATGACATGTACCTGGGATATTTGTAGAGCCCCCTCAACCCAATGGGATTTGGCCACTCGAGTTGCACCAACAGAAGAGGCTCACTACAGACCCTGCCTGCTAAGGAGATTCAGTTAGTGGGTCAAGGAGAAACCTTTTCCCCCCACTGTGGCCCCTGTCCTGTGGAGCAGTCTACTGCTAGAGGTGAGATCTGCTTCAACCCTCTTGGTCTTCAGGAAGGGCCTCAAAACCTAGTTTAGGTGTATGCTGTATGTGGTTGGTGGGATGAGGTTAATTTTAGTTTTTATATAATTCTTTTTTTATTTTTTTTAGTGTTTATATTTGTATCATTTGTAAGCCACCCTGAGTTGCTATATCAATGAGGTGGATTATGTACATACACAGAAACTCACTCTCTCTCTCTGGCTCAGCTGATAAGAGAGGAGAGCTTGTGGCTTAAGAGGTTAATGCAACTGCCTAATATGTAAAAACAGCCCAAGTTCGAATCCCAGCAAGGGGTATGGCTAGCTGATGAAAGCTAAACAGCTTGCAATAGATCTATACTAGTCTCCGTTCATTTATCAGCAAAAATGCAACACAAAATGGTTTGTCTGCCTGGAAGGCTCCTGGAGTGGGGCTGAAAGGCTTTTTGCAGTATGCTACCTCTCGTATTTGGACATACCAGGTGCTTTGACAAAAGAAAACACTTTACACAAACACACGAATTCATTAAAGTGGGGACACTGACAGACAGTTGAATCTCTTTTTCTAAAAAAATGATACTCAAAGGTCAGCCATCTTTCTGCCAGACAAGGCTGATCCCAAAATATTCCTCTGCTCATCATAAGTTAAACTTTTGAGATGCTTTCATTTCTTTCCCAGGCCTGAGTCCCTTCTTGCAGGGGTTGAATGTTCCAAATCTTATAAGTCAGCATCCGTCTTTAAGGAAAATGGCTTTTTCAGAAAGGTGAAAAATAAACCAATGAAAAAAATCTGCTTTCGATCCCCAGATCCTACCTTTGCACATTGCAGCCTGAAAGTGGACAGGTATCCAGTGAAGCTTAAGAAAGGGCCTACTTACACGATCACCTTTCTCTCCTTTGGATCCATAGATTCCTGGAGATCCCCGTTCGCCTTTCCCACCCTGCAGGGAAGAGAAGCAAAGCTTAAGAAAATGACAACCAGAAGAACAGGATCAGGAAAAGCTCTTTGTAGAATTCCCTTTTGAAGCTGCTCAAAATAAACCTTTCCTCAAACTGGGTCTCAGCACTGAGCAGAGGCAATTCCATCATCTCTGCACGCATTTGGTCAATTGTCTTAATATGTCCTGGTGGTCACATGACCACACTTCCTTTTTCACCTTTCCTTGTTACCTGAAGAGTGAGGCAGGGGTGGGCTGCTGGGGGTTTGCAGGGGTTCGGGAGGACCTCTACCTAAGATTCTGTGCAGTTCAGAGAACCCCCAAATTCCATTCCTGGCTGGCCCCCGCCCCTCCCAGGAGTTCCCACCTGGGCCGTTTTGGATGCAGGTAAGTGCAGGGCGTGTGTGGGGAGGCTCAGGGAGAGTGAAAAATGAGCCAACCAGAACAGGAGTGGGTTACTGCCAGTTCGCTTCGTGCTCACATACACCTGCCCACCGCACATTGCTTGTGCATGCACAATTGCCTATAAATTGTTCTGCGCAGGAAATGTCTAAAAACATGCTGGCAATGGTATGGACGACCAGGAAACTAGCTTGGGGGTGTGTGGCGAGCCTGCCGTTTCTACCGGTTCTGCAACCCAGGTGCAATTTCCACTACCGGTTCGCACGGAAGTTTGGGAAGGCTGGAAACAGGCCTGTTTCAGACCTCCAGAGGGCATCCAGAGCCTTAGGAGGCTGTTTTAGCCCTCCTGGAGGTTTGAGGAAAGACTCTGGAGCCCGGGGAGGACAAAAATCCCCTCCCCCAAGGTGCTGGAGGGTGACTAGCCATGCCCACCCAACAACCCGACAGAGAACCGCTTGCTAAAACCTTTGAAGCCCACCCCTGGTGAAGTGGGATTGGACATAAGGAAGAAAAGGAGAATAAATGGCAAGCGTGGTGGAGAAGGAAGGAGATACAATGGCGGGAGGAAACACTCATCCAATGAGGAGAGAGTGAGAGTCTTTCTCTATTCATGCTGGTGTGAGTAGCTGCCCTGAAGATTGACTGCACACTTAGCAGATATTCTAACAATGGCAGCAACTGTGTTTATGGGTACCTCAAATAGCATTAGTGACTAGGACACACAATCCACCCCCTCTTTAAATTACTGTAAATACACAAAATTAAAGTATCGTTAAATTATGTATGGGTGCCTGTAAGATCTGCAAGATTAGCAATAATGGAGATACAATGGGTTTATTAAAGCCGGAGAAAGCATTTTAATCTATTTAAACTCCTGGGAAACATTATTGATTTTGGAACCAATCTGCAAAGATTCTGGAACTGTTTGATGTAGTGGAAGTTAGATATTTCGCCAAAAAAAATCTAATCAGAGAGAATCAGAAAAGAAAATGGAAAATAGCAATAGGAAAAGCACCTAGATCTGTATACCACTTCATAGTGCTTTTACAGCCCCCTCTAAGCAGATTACAGAGTCAGCCTATTGCCCCCAACAATCTGGGTCCTCATTTTACCAACCACAGAAGGATGGAAAGCTTGGTCAACCTTGAGCTGGTTAGGATCGAGTTGCTGCAGTCAACAGAATTAGCCTGCAATACTGCATTCCAACCACTATGCCACCACGAGTAATAGCAATTTGTGGGATGGTGGTCAGGTTTTTGCATGGGACAAAAAAAAAGAAACTAGGAGAATTCAGGTGCCCCAAGCAGCTGAGATGATCAAGAAAAGGGAGAGACATACCTTCACACCAGGAGGTCCCAGGGTAGCCTGTGAAGGGGGAAAAAAGCAACATGAATACATTTGATGGAGACACCCAGGAAACAAACCAACTGGCAGAGTGGGAGGAAGAAGCATTTGCAACAGATAAGATATGAGATTTGTAAAAGGCCACGTAACTTAACAAGGAACCTCAAAACGAAGAGCTGCCTTTAAAACGATGGAGGGGACTTCCTTCTTCTTTCCTCCAATGGAAGGATGGAAGAAAAGCAGAAGTAATAGCAACAGCAATTAGACATATACCACTTCATAGTGCTCTACAGCCATCTCTAAGCAGTTTACAGAGTCAGCATAATTTCCCCAACAATCTGGGTCCTCATTTTAGCCACCTCAGAAAGCTGAGTCAACCTTGAGCTGGTTAGGATCGAACTACTGGCAGTTGGCAGAATTAGCCTGCAATGCTGCATTTTAACCATGGGGAGGGAGGGAGGGAAAGAAAGAAAAAATGAAGGAAGGAACGAAAGAACGAAGGTCAGCAAGAAAATAGCAATAGCACTTAGACTTATATACCACTTCATCGTGCTCTACAGCCCTCTCTAAGCAGTTTACAGAGTCAGCCTCTTGCTCCTAACAATCTGGGTCCTCATTTGATCCACCCTGGAAGGATGGAAGGCTGAGTCAAGCTAGGTAAGCTATAAAATGGAAATGCAAGTCCATTACAGAGAAGGAGATAGGGATATGGTTGGTTCATCCCAGGGTCCCCCCAAAAGGTCAATATTGCCGCCCAAAAGTCCATGAGACTATCTAAGGGGTCAATAAATGGCTTGGGGTTGAGGAGGGCAGGGCTGACGTTGCTACGACATGACATACAATCTTGGAGCTCCAGGATTGCTGTCGATATCTCTGCTGCTGGACGGTTCTTTTGGACCTAAATTGTCCCGTAGAGATGGTGATAGCGAAGGGCACGTCCTGCTGATCTCAGGGGCATCGCAAAGTCCCTGATTGATCCAGGAGAAGCTTTTTTCCGGCAAAAGAGAAGCAGCCATTGAAGCTGCAGAAGGTTGGGACAACCCCTGAACAGAAGAAAAGCAGGAGAGAGAGTGTGTCAAAATGGTGAGACAAGTTTTTACTATTAGAGAACACCCAAAAAGACTCCAGTGAAGTATCCCCAGCCCTTTTGACGCTCATCAGCATCATCCTTCCTATGAATGATATCAACTGTTTAGTAAAAGAGATATGTTAAATCTTATATTTTTCACATTCTTAAATATTACCTATCATTGTTAGTATTTATTATCTGTTGTTATTCATGGTGTGATTAAAATAATATTTAAGGAAGTAACAGAAGAAGACTTATCGAGAAGAGAACCAACATAGAAAGAACTAAGGAGAAATTCCCTGACAGTTAGAACAACTTGTCTCCAGAAGTTATGGGAACTTCATCACTGGAAGTTTTTAAGAAGAGATTGGACAGCTGTTTGTCTGTAATGGTATTGGGTCTCCTGCTTGAGCAAGGAATTGGATTAGAAGACCTCCAAAGTCCCTTTCAATTCTGCTATTCTGTTATATGGATTCCGAAGAACCAGAGATTTGAAAGGGAAGGAAAAGGTTCTTTGCTCCATCTCCTGGTGTAGTGTAGGGCTTATGAGAGCATCTCTAACAGATGGCCAGCCTCTGTAAGAAGACCTTTTGTGAAGGAGACTTGGTCTGCCCATTTCAGAGATTGATAGCTCATATGGTGAGATGAAATCTGGAGGAATATGGTGAGATATTCCTCCAGATTTCTTGCCTGGACCTCCTTCCTTATAATTTTAATCCTTGTCCTGCCCTCTAGGGCAACAGATTATCATTCTGCTCCTTTTTCTGTGTGATAACCCTTCAGAAATTTGAAGCCCGCTACTGTATCTCCTGTCATTTATCTCTTCTGTGAGCTAAACAGATGAAAGTCCTTTAACTCTTCTTCATGAGCTTAGTTTCCAGATCCTTCACATCTTTGTGTGCCTTTCTCTGAATTTGATCCAGTTGGTCATATCCTTTTTGAATGATGGTGCCTAGATCTGAGCACAATACTCTAAATGAAGTCTAAGTAGGATTGAGTAGATGAGAATGGTTACTTCCCAAAACTTTGACTGTATGCTTCTGTGAATGTTCTCCCAAATCATATGTGCCTTTTTAGCAATTGCATCACACCACTGGCTCATATGAACTTACAGGAGACCTTTGGGAAATAGGAAATAACAAATGAATAATATTTGCAGAGTTTTTTCTGTTGAATTGTGTCTCCGTCTCTGAGATTGCCTGGATAAGTTCCTGCAGGTTTTGTTGACAAGGATGTTCAGAAATGGCTTGTCCCAGTTTCTAGCCTGATGCCTTGGCCACCAAAGTAAACTGTCTCTTTCTCAGGCTAGGATAGGCTAATTCCAAGAACTGCAGGGGGTTGATAGGAGTGACAACAGAGGAAGTCAGAATGGGGGAAAAACACTTCTTTTTATTTCATTTCTGAAAAATCTGTGGTTGGTTGATTGATTTAGCAGAAAGGAAACTTCTGGCAGGTTCCTGCGTTCATTGACCCTGCAGGAAGGGGACAGTAGTTGTTTGGAGGCAGACTTTCAATTTAGCTGCCAAATCCAGCAAGACAATCTGGGAAGGAAGAAGTCTGATACTCTGCTCTAGCATCCATTACACACACAGACACACAGACACAGACACAGACACACACACACACATTTCACACACACACACACACACACACACACACACACACACACACACACCAAGGATACTCTGCACCTCAAAGTCAGCTGTTGGTCCTCGTGTCTTAGATGGAGAGTTTAGAGAGGTCTCAGCTGGGATGATTTAAGATGAAACCTCTTGTGGTTCATCTTGACCTCTCATGTTACTCAATCTGACATTTCAGCACATTGAGTCTGTCATCTGCACCACTATAACTGTCTGGTTTGGCTCTGCAACCCAACATGACAGACACAGACTTCAATGGATAATTAGAACTGCAGAAAAGACAATTGCTACCATCCTGCCTTCCACTGAGAACCTGTATACTGGCCAAGTCAAAAAGAGAGCTGAGAAAACATTTACAGACCCCTCACATCCTGGACACAAATTATTTCAGCTTTTACCCACAAAATGATGCTATAGGGCATGGGTTGTCAACTTGGTCCCTACCGCCCACTAGTGGGTGTTTTGGGATTCCAAGTGGGCGGTAGGGACTTCGTAGGTTAAAACTTCCTTTTGAGTGAGTGGGCAAGCGCGAATGCACACATCAATAAACCAACGTGCGTGGGCACGTAAACAAGCAAACACGTGGGAAGAGGAAGGGGGGAGGAGTGGAAACTGATAGCAGGGACAGGCAGATAAGTTTTGTTATCTTATAAAATAAAGCGGAGCAGAGCAGTTGCAAAATAGGAGAAAGAAATAGGCAGGAGAGAATTGTTAATAATGTGGGCTAACTAGCTCAGCCTTACTTTTGTACATTGCCCTAAGGAAGGTTAAAAAAAAAAGGAGATAAAAAGGAAAG